ATATTTAACAATGTAATCTATTAAACCATAATTGTATTGTATTGTTATCCTAATTATTTAACATTGTGTTCAGTGATTAATAATTGCTTACTGAAACAATAACATTTTCTCTTCAGAAAGGAATTGAACATAAATTTAAATGAAGTGAAGATTTTGTGGTACCTATAATATGGAGGTAATAACAGCTGCACTGCCTGCCTAGCACGTGTATTCTCAAAACACTGCCCTCAGCTCTGGCCTTCATATCCTCACTGGTATTTTAGGAGCTGCTGGTAACTCACTGGATGGTTCTGAACTGGTCCGTCACAATCAGAAGTCACTAGTTCCAGCTTCAAAAGATCCACGCCACGGACATGCTCGACACTACCTTCAAACAGCTACGGTATTCCTCCTCTCTCTTGACATATGGCGTCTGTGGCAGATTTAGTTTCTCCATAAATTATGTAGTTTACTTTGCGAACAGGGCCAATCGTCTGCAGCATAGATCTGCACAAAAAGAACAGGCAGGAAGCGGGTCTGGTTGCTACGTAACGTGCTGAAACCTCCTTTTAGTAAGCGAAGAAGGATAAGAAATTGTGTTTTCAAACCGGTTTTAACCATCCGCCTCCCCTCTAGTTAATACTCCGCTCACTCTGTTTACAAATGAAGTCAAATGTGTCAGAAGAACTCCGTCATTCGGGCACTGACAGCTGAATTATTACGATACGTCATTTTCTTTCTATTCAAATTCATTGGTCCAATGATGGCTGTTTGGGGGCGGGGCTATCTTTGAATGCTAACATCTGATTGGTTGTGTCGGGAAAACACACAACGCTCATGCTGCGGTCTCAACTTTTATTTTTCTCCGCTAGTTTATTTGAAATTTTATTAAAGTTAATAGACTATGTAGTGTCAAGTTTATTATAGTACACTTTGTTTACAAGTTGCGATTCGTAAATCTCCAAATAGATTCGTGTTTTAATCTCGTGGGAAACTGAAAAAAAGAAGAGGAGTTAAAGCATTGTTCGAGCTGGATCGCYTAACGTAAGTTGAGTTAGCTAACAAGCTAACAGAGCTAATCTTATCTGCAGAGAGGTTTAGCTGCACACTGTTGGCACATACCTGTAGTCAGTGACACAAAACAACAAAATGAATAATTTAACAGATTTACCTGCTACATGGAGTCATTTGTATGTTTTTAAGCAAGAAAATACACTTTTGCTCAGGTTTAGTAATAAACAAATAATCATTGTTGCAATGTTGTTCTGAATCGTCACTACATTTGGTATAACACATCTATTAGGTTTGCACAAACTCAAAGATTAATCATTTTAAATGCACATACTGTATTCTCTAAAGTTTAGAGTTTAAACTACATGGAGCATTTTGTTTACAACCAGGTCTCTATTTAATAGTGATCATCAATAAACTCAGCTGAAGAAAAATAAGCTTAAGTTTAATTTAAACACTACAGTGTCATTTAATTTATATATTTAGTGAAAAATAATTAACTTGAATTAGATATTGGCATATATGTTACTTATAACAAATGTAGGGTGGACACGACAAATTATTCAAACTAAATAACATAACTCTGTGTTTTGAGGGAAATTTATTTCTTGTCTGTGTAACATTGTCAAAAACTATATATATATGTGTGTGTGTGTGTGTGTGTGTGTGTGTGTGTGTGTGTCATTGTTTTATAAATGCACAAATGTAAACACAGAAATTTAGCCAGTTGTTTGTGTAAAGCTTTTCATAGTGATAACATTTTGCCTTTCAGGCTTTTCAGATTTCCTGTACCCTCTCGTAGGATTTACCAGTAAGTACAGTGTTATTTCTGTCCTTTGTTTTGATGCAGGCTTTCGCTGCCTCATTGTGTAAAAGTGATGTGTCCATATTTAGATTTTGCAGTCATGTTCTGTAGTAATTTTAGTGCATCAAAGCCCAAAGAAAACATACCACAACCATCACAAATACTATCTGTTCAAGATGAAATCATGTCCGTTTTGTGGTTTTGGAAAGAGAGACAGTGATTACCTTCTGTGAAGCTGTCATAGAAAGAGACGTATTTATGCTTTTTTTTTAAACCTGTACTCCTGCATCAGTTGTTTAAGCTGTGTTAAGAGGGCAKGGCAGAAACACACCCAGTTGGCGGCTGTGTGAAAATACACAAACTGACACGCAGTATTAAGTATTCTAATAATGTGTGTGAACATGTCCTCTGGGTCGTTACTGTTTACAGTCACACAGCAGTAGGAATAATAAGGTGATTAAACAGATATTTGTTTTTTAACCACTCAACTAAGATTGATGTCTGAAGTAGTACATAAGGCGAATGACCTTCTTTGTGTCTTTGGGGATTTTGAACAAACATAAGGGTGCCGAAGGAGGAGCTCTGGTGTTGTAGGGGCAGATAAGTTCGTTAGACTGGTACAGGACATGTAWGAGGACAGCAGGATAATAGTGAGTTGTGCTGTAGGAGTAAAAGCTTCAAGGTGGAGKTGGAACTGCATGAAGGATCAGCTGTGAGCCCATTCTTTTTAGCTCTGGTGATGAGGTCAAGCAGAAATCCCATTGGGCTATGATGCTGGCAGGTGTGATCTGTGGTGAGAACAGGGAGCAAGTGGAAGAGAACTTGGACATATGAAGGTATGCCCTTGAAAAAAAAAGAGGATTTAAAAGCCAGCCGTAGCAAGACGGAGGATTTTTTTGACAAAAGGGTGGTAGCAAAGGTCAAAGGAAAAGTAGTGAGATCATCTWTGTTGTGTCTGTAAATTATTATATAATCTTGTAGCAATTGTTACAATTTTCATTTGCAGTAATTTGACARTTCACCACACTTGATGCTCAGCTTGTTCACATCTTTGTTTTTGTGTCTTACACAACAAACACATCCTTTCTCATAAGTTCTGCAGAGATTTAAACMGTCGCTCAAAAATAAATGACCTATTTAGGTTTGAGAAAAGACTAGAGACAGATATTTCATTCTCTCTTTAAAAAAATAGTTTTTAATGTTTTTAAATGACTGAGCATGAATTATGAACATAAATTTTAACTTGTTATTTATTTATCTAAAAAGCTCTTTCCATATGTAGAGGTTGTGTTATGCTGTTTGCACTTTATTAAAAAGCTCTAACCATTTAGCAGTTTTGGATGTGTTTGTAGTGGGGATGGGGTCTGTAATTTTAAAGCGGGTGCATAATGATGGCAGCTAGTGTGATCCAAAGAGAATGTAATTGCTGGCTTGGGTCTGCACTATAATCCCTCTCATTCATGTCAMTCATCTTTTGTCATCTGTTATTTTGGTGGAAGTCTTTTAATTTTTTGTATTTTTTTTTCACATGACTCATAAACCTTCTTATCTTGACCAGTCATGTAGCGGGTGTTTTGTTGCTCTTTCTATGCAATATTTTATTAATCAAGGACTTTAAATATCATTCCCCTGCTTTCTCTGCTCCCATGCAGCAGGTCTGMGACATTAGTGTTGTCATCTTATAGCAGCTCAGAAGCACTCCAAGACTGGATGAACTGAGTCACCGTTTCAGACTGACAGCTCGGCTATGTATCCTTGTTTTTCGCCCCGCCCCTTTTCCTCGCTTCCTGCCTGCCCTGCTCGTGCACGCTGCTGTTTGGTTGGTGTTTCCATGGAAGCATGTAGCCAGAAAGAGGCTTCACACAGAGCATCTTGTGTTCTCTTCACAGAGAGCTGCGAACAAGAGAGGCAGTGACGCAAAACGCACAATGTATGAAAGCAGCTGTGTGGACTCGGTGCTCTTCAGCTTCTAACACTCATGTGTTGACCTTAACCTGTGCATTTTTTTAGCACAGGAACAACTTTGTCACATTTGGTGACTTCTTCTTTCTAGAAATTTTTTTTCTTGGGGTCATTACCCAACTCTCTTTGATTATTTTTATTTTTTTCTTGTTGACTTTTTGAYTTAAAAACGCAACCATTTTTTCCGGAACGAAACTGGGATTTTCCCTCATATTATGTACTTCAATGGATACCAGTGGCTCAKTGGTTAGCATGCGAGCAGAGGAGCAGCCCTTTCATGTCCGCTACAGGTAGGAACTTCACATCTTTTACCTAAAGTGTAGTCCCAAGGCTGGAAAAGTAGATARGTTACTCAGCTTTTGAGCTTAATTCTTTCAAATATGTTTTAAGGGATGCTATTGATAAAAAATATTGATAGGTGGTTAAGGGACATGTCTGTAATGTAACTTATTTAGCATTTATGCAGCCAGATTGATAAAACTAGAGGTTATATTATAGTGGAGAACTGGTGTGGTTTGTGACTTYGAAGGCAGGTGTGCTTCCCAAACAAACCATAAGCCAGCTGTCCCTACAAACCCAGGTAAACTTGCAGCAGGTGTAACCTGTCAAACACAGAAAGACCTGCACCGGCCTGTTGTTAATATTTAAACAAGCGCTGAAAATTTAATTCCTRCGGGCTTTGTTTAAAGCCTCCCGTGTGTCCATCTTATTGGGACGGTGGACGTATGGTCTTTCCAAGATGTGGGAGGACTTCTCCAAACTGACAAGGTGGTTACAGTCAATGGACTGATTCTATTAGACTGCAGAGTCTGCCCGTGTCTGATGAGCTAATCCAGTTAGAGTTCTCCAACTCCATAATCCGTCAGGTGCATACTCTACATACATAATCCCAGATGACCAGGTCGTTGGAAGAGAGAACACAAAGCATATTAGCTGAGAAAGTGCTGATGGAGCAAGTTTCCTGCTTCCAGGCATGGGAAGTTAATGCCGTGACAACATCTCACACGTCTCCTTGAAAGGTTTCCAGTGTGTGATGCTAAAATACCTCTGTGACGTCAGTCGGTTAATTGTTTTGGGATCCCTGAAAMGAGGGCAGTTTATTTTTAATACCTTTTTAGATTTAACTAAACGCGGTTTTAGTCGAGCGTTTTTATTAGTAAAAGCTGCTCTGGCGGTTTAGGGTTTTAGACCACCGTCCATGCTTCAGAGAAATAGAAGAGACTGCAGACTGGAAGTTTTCTTCAGAGGAAACTGTAGATGCCACGCAGATGTCCCATGTGCTGCTGCTGCTGTTGTTGTTGTAGGAAACAAAAGGCTGGCAGGTAGGCTAGTATTTGCCACAAATATCATGTTAAATTGGTAGTAAACAAAACCTATTCTCCTCTAATTTTAGGCTTAGGACTGCTGAGCCGAGCTTTGACTATTCAGGATATGATGTTTGCTTTTGTTCTCAAATTATAGCCTGGCTCTGCAGTGAGACAAACTACTGTGATTGGTGCTTTTGCGTCATTTCAGTAGCACACAATAGCCCGCATAAGTTATTACACTCAGTGTGAGGATTCTTGACTTGGAGGGCATGTTTTTGAGGGCATGCAAGATAACCATTGGGTGGGTACAAGAGGAAAACTTGAGATAAACAAACAGAAMAGATTTTTAGTAAAACTAATCTTAACAKTTTCCTGAAAAACAAAAGTTGGCAGACTGTCCTCGCTTTGTTCAAATAGGCTGCTTAATCTTTCATTTCATATATTTTATAAGCAGTCATTGTCTGGTGCTATATAGTCAATTTCTAAACACTGCTAAGAAATAAAATTTTGTAATTTGCATTTTTAACATATTTAAATAGGCAGAAAATGCAGTTATGGTGTAATTTTAAAGAGTGGAACGTAAAATCCAGAAAAGCTTGTAGTAACGATCCATCACAACAGAATTTTCTTGCAACATAAAATGTTTGAATTTTTTTTTTAGGTAAAACTGTTCACAAAATAAAGTTTTGTTGGTTTGTGATATTTGACTAACAGAATCACACTTGACTTTTGGGTAATGTTAAAAGGATATGAGAGCTGCCATAATAAACAAGCCCCATTTGGAGCCATTGTTTTCTGGAAATGGCAGGAAGTGTCTAAAAAAACACTCCCTGCTGAAAGCCTTGAAAGAAGTTTTATTTCCCTCTTGAAAGTGGAATCTCGTCATTTGGTGCTYAGCCACAGACAGCCTATTTTCCCACAGTCCTTACTTTTAAATTTAATTAAAATTATTTAGGATTTCAGATAACGTCGGTGTCCTTATTTATAGTTTTAGTCAGCTTTCAGATCATCCAGAGSTTTGTTTGACAGACTCTCGTTCTGCTGCAGGATGGAGGTGTCCTGCCTAGAGCTGGCGTTGGAGGGCGAGCGGCTCTGTAAAGCGGGGGACTACAGAGCAGGTGTTTCCTTTTTCGAAGCCGCCATCCAGGTGGGCACGGAGGACCTGCAGGTGCTCAGTGCTATCTACAGCCAGCTGGGCAACGCTTACTTCCACCTGCATGATTACACCAAGGCTTTGGAGTTCCACCGGCACGATCTCACCCTGACCAGGTTGGATGCTCTTTACACATAAACACCCAGAGTTCTATATGTATTGTTTCTAAAATGATGCGATATTTAGGACAATTGGGGACCTGCTTGGAGAAGCCAAAGCCAGTGGAAACCTTGGCAACACGTTAAAGGTGCTGGGGCGGTTTGACGAGGCCGTGGTTTGCTGTCAGAGACATTTGGACATCGTGAGGGACATTAATGACAAGGTAAGGCGACGTCAGACACACAATCAGGTATTCACGATTCACCTTCACCCACAACTTTTTTTTTTCTCCTGGATTACATTAGGTAGGGCAAGCACGAGCACTCTATAACTTTGGCAACGTGTATCATGCCAAAGGCAAAAGCATTTGCTGGAGCGGAGCTGAACCTGGAGATTTTCCAGAGGAGGTCATGACGGCGCTCAGGAAGGCAGCAGAGTACTATGAGTACGTTAACAAAACTACGTCACATTTTACTCGCAAATAAAATGTGTTTTGATAATTCAAAGATCAGATTTATACATTGCAGAAGGAGTTGTCTAATTGTCTCTTGTTGTGGATTATTAGGGCAAACCTGGCGATAGTGAAGGAGCTCGGAGACCGGGCAGCTCAGGGTCGAACGTACGGAAAYCTTGGCAACACGCATTACCTGTTGGGAAACTTTGCTAAAGCGGTGAATTCTCACGAACAGGTGAGGGTAAACCTGAATGACTCTGTGTTTATCAGCAGCTCAGTGTAAATATCAGGGTTCCCACGGGTCCTTGAAATCCTTGAAAGTTTGTGAATTTGAAAAATTATTTTAAGGCCCCGGAAAGTTTGTTAAAACCAGCCAAAAATTACACTTGTCCTTGAAAGTCCTTGAATGTTTTTTGGGGATTGAAGTTCTCTATTAACACGACTGATTTTCATCATCTGTAAAAAAGAAAATAATAATAAAATTTTTAAAAATCTTACATTTGTTGTGGTAGATAACTCAGGATTACAGCAAATTGACGTGGTTATCAACCAGTAACAATGTGTAGTTGTTTTTTGTTTGTTTGGCACTGCATTGCTGTTTCCTGTGTATAGTTAATGTGTGCGTAACAACACATGAATGCCATCCTCTCACGGGTGTATTGGTGAATTGAATAATTATATCTCCTTGTATTGTGGACATGAATGTAGGGTTTATATTTAATCCACTTTATTTCACTGATCCTGGCTCAATGACTTCTATGCTTAAATTGAATTTACATGATATTAAACCTGTTTATTGGTAACATTCTGCGGTAGCAGTAGRTAATTGCCGTCGTGCTGGTTCTTGAATTTGAGGAAATTGGTACTGGAAAGTCCTTGAAAGGTCCTTGAATTTGATGTTGACCAAGCTGTGGGAACCCTGAAATATGCATCATGGTTTAGGTAATAATATTTTTGCTCCTGTTTCAGCGTTTGCTAATAGCTAAAGAGTTCGGCGATCGCTCGGCAGAAAGACGAGCGTACTGCAACTTGGGGAACGCCTACATCTTTTTGGGGGATTTTGAGGTAGCAGCTGAGCATTACAAGTAAGTCAGAGTCCGTACACGTGTTTCTATTTGGATACTATATGTGTGGCGTTCAATTTTTTTCAGTAAAGCTTAAAATAAACTTTTAAAATCGAGATCTTTATGTCCTTCGGAGAAAACARTACACATATTGAGAAAAAAATGGGTTCCTCAGGCATGAATTATGTTGTGTGTTGTTCCCTTAAAATTTTCTGAGAATTTCTTAGACCAGGTGTTCCCAACCTTTTTAGACTTGTGAACCCCCTGAGCCATATTGTTATACCACTAGAACCCCTTCAGTCAAACGTAATGATGATTCTCCAAAACTATAATGTACTACAACTGATTATTAAATGAAATTTATTTATTTAGCCCCCTAGAATGTTTAGTTCTCAGGCATTTTATTACTTTCAACTCCAAGTAGACGTAAAGATAAAAACATTGCCTTAAGAGTGAATAAGTAATTAAATAAATAAACCAGGTAATGGCAGGTGCAGAAAACAGCAGTGTCCAAAATACATCAGAAACTCACCCAAATGAGAAAATTCTGTGAGATTCCATGTTTTATACTGGATTCCAATTCTGTGATTCTGTCTGCAATTTCTGCATTGAAACAGAAATCATAGGGGCCCTACATATTAGTCCTATTTTTATTAATTTTTTTACACACCTGGGAAATTTTTYCCACGTACCCCCTGTAATATGCTCGTACACCTGGTTTGGAATCATTGACGTTAAAAATTAGCCGGTCGGATTGTTATAAAGGCCTCTTTGTACGTTCGTCAGGAGGTCCCTGCAGCTGGCCCGGCAGTTGAAGGACCGAGCCGTGGAGGCTCAGGCGTGCTACAGCCTGGGCAACACCTACACGTTACTCCAAGACTACGAGAGAGCCATCGATTACCACCTCAAACACCTCATCATCGCTCAAGACCTCAATGACAGGTGACAACCAACAAAACAGAATAATAAACTGCAACTCTTTGACGGTGCCATTTAAATAATTATTGTTTTAAAATGTTTAATTATTTGCAGGATTGGAGAGGGCCGTGCGTGCTGGAGTCTCGGAAACGCTCACACTGCTTTGGGTAACCACGATCAAGCCATGCACTTTGCTGAGAAGCACCTGGAAATCTGCAGAGAGGTGTGTTGCAGCGAGCAGCAGTGGACTTGCTTTATGGGAACCTATTTATGCAACTTTTACAAATCCTTTCCTTGGTTTGCATKTAAATGTCCTTTTTTTCCCCAGACCGGAGACAGGAGCGGAGAGCTGACGGCTCGTATGAACGTCTCTGACCTCCAAACAGTCCTGGGTTTGAGCTACAGCACGAATAACTCCACGATTTCTGAAAATAAGGATATAGACTACAACCTACATGGTAGAGACTTACCCCGGCTTCATTGTTCAGTAACCATTACTGTGTTTATAATGTGTTTTTATTTTTTTGTTTTGTAGGAGCAAAACCCAGACTGAGCAGGCGCCACAGCATGGAGAACCTGGAGCTGATGCAGCTCACTCCAGACAAGATGAATGTAAGAACTGCTTAAACATGATGTTGGAAAACATCATTTTGTATCTGTTCCTTCTAATCCGCCCCATTGCTGTTCTTGTGTGTGTGTGTGTGTGTGTGTGTGTGTGTGTGTGTGTGTGTGTGTGTGNGTGTGTGTGTGTGTGTGTGTGTGTGTGTGTGTGTGTGTTCTAAAGGGTCAAAAATGGAACAGTGACATTTTGGCAAAGCAGTCTAAACCCTCCATAGCTAAAAGCTCCTCCAAGCTGTTCTTTGTCAGCCGTCTGCGGGGGAAGAAATACAAGTTTGGGGGCTCCAGTAAGGTCCTTCAAGACACCAGCAACACTTTGGACACAAATCTGTCTTCCGCTCAGGGACCACAGAAAGTATGAAGCACGGGACTCCTTCATTCAGTGACGTTGCCTCCTGCTGTCTTCAAACACCACTGTTTATTTTTTATCTCAACAGCGCCTCAGTCCTGACATGCTCGGAGAGGAGGGCTTCTTTGACCTCCTGAGTAGATTCCAGAGCAACCGTATGGACGACCAGCGCTGTTCAATACAGGATAGAGGCAGCAGGTTGTCATTAAACAGCGGTCCGGGCTCACCTCCCAGAACCATCAGGAAATGTGAGTCTGCGCAGTCCGTGAAGTTCAAGAAGTCCTCAAGAGTTGCTTCGTATTCACATGCATGGTGTTGTTTTCCACTCTGCAGCTGCTTCAGAGTCCGTCAACATGTCCAGCGCCTCTGGCAGGAGGCTGGGCGAGTCGTCCTCAGCAGGAGGAAGCCTGCCGGGTCTGAGACTCAATCAGAGCAGCAACCAGGCCGTGCTCAGCCACCTAATGGCCAACGCCGACGGCGCCGAGCCCGACGATGACTTCTTTGATATGCTTGTCAAGTGCCAGGTACGTCTGTTGCACTGTGAGCAGCACTGGCTAAATTTAACGTGAGCAGGGTTCCTGCAGATCCTTAAAAAGTCTTAAAAGGCATTGAATTCATCCATCCAAAATTAAGGCCTTAATTAGCCTTAAAATGTTTTAAATCAATCTTTCAGAAGCCTCAAAAATGTTAACACATTTTAATAAGATGATTGTAATTTGTCTCAAATATTAAAATAATTGGTAATGTTTATTAATTTTTTAAAAAACATTCACATGCAGACAATCCTCTTTGACATCCCTTCCTGTTACTTCACATGCAAATATCTCACAGGGTTCCCACACCTTGGTCAACATCAAATTCAAGGACTTTCGAGTACCAATTTCCTCAAATTTAAAAACCACACGTGACAGCAATTACCTACTGCTACCACAGAATGTTACCAATTAACAGGTGTCATGGTATCAGGTATCATGTCAATTCAATGAAAAACTGAACAACATAGAAATTGTTGAGACAGAGTCAATGACAGAAAGTGGATTAAATGTTTTCCCTACATTCATGTCCATAATACATGGAGACGTAATGATGTCCTGGGAGGTTCAGCAGCTCCTTCTGTGAGGACAGGAGGAGCTGTGGTGCTCTCACCTGGGCTCAGAAAGAAAGACCCGCCCTACTCTGCTCTGAGTGGCTAAAACTATGACTGTGTCTCACGTTATTTGTTGAAAGCCATGCCAGTTTACCGTAATCCTGAGTTATCCACTGCAACAAATGTACGTTGTTTTTTTTAATTTCATTTTATTACAGATGAAAGTCAGTTGTGATCCCCAAAAAAACATTCAAGGGCTTTCAAGGACAAGTGTAATTTTTGGCTGTTTTCACAAACAGGGCCTTGAAATCATTTCTTCAAATTCACAAACTTTCAAGGATTTCAAGGACCGGTGGGAACCCTGTACTGTCCACCTGAGCAACGTGAAATTCGTTTTGTGTTGTTAATATTGTCATCTTTCCAAAAACGTATTCACATTTCTTACAAAAACTTAATGTCACAGGCGCTTAAAAGGTTTCATCTACAGCAAATTGGGGTCGAGACCCCACTGTGGGTCCTAAAACTCCAAATTTTGGGTCGTTAAGGAATTTCCAGAAATTAAATTGAGTTTAAAACTGACTGCTTAGAATGTTTTTGTTATATTTGACAAAAAAAAGCAGTTAGATATGGATAAAAACAATTGGTTTATTAGCAATATTTGAATACTTCAACCAAAAATACTTTGATTCATGAGTTTCTGCCAGTGTTGTATTTTTTTTGTCCTTTGTGTTTAACATGAAATTGGTCTTAAATTTAATTTCACTTGGCATTAAAAAGTCTTAAATTTAACCTACCTTAAACTGTAGGAACCCAGGTGAGATAAACTGGATGCGAAGGTTTCATTCTCCCCATTTTCCTCCCAGGGCTCCCGCTTGGACGATCAGCGCTGTGCCCCTCCCCCTCCTCCCGTCCGAGGACCCACCGTACCCGACGAGGACTTCTTCAGCCTCATCATGCGCTCGCAGGCCAAACGAATGGACGAGCAACGCGTCACTTTGCCTTCCACAGCCAGAATCACCTCAAGCTCCGAGTGAACTGAACACTAAAGGGACAAAAATCTCTTTTTTTTTAATCTTGCAAATGTGTGAACAGCAATAAGAACGCAGGTCCTGTGTCTCTTCACACACCGTCCTACTGGACAAAAACAAAGCACTGTCAGCGTTGTGTGTACAGCAAATTCATGAAACATTAAGCTAATAAAGACTTGTTTTGTACAACTTTCACCAACAGTACTATCAGAGAAACTCAAGTTTTTTTTAATGTTTGTTTTAAATGATTCTATATTGAAGCATTTCATCTCATGTAGACTGTGACACAGCTGCAGTTGTGTTTGTATTTATTGTACATTTTTTACTATTTTAACTGCCGTCCCACCACCGAGGAGAATTAGCATAAAAACAGACGTACAGCACTCTTTAATGCATTTTGGTTTTATGAGTTTTTTTGTGCTACAGATTAAAAAAATAATAATTTTAAAGTCGACAGATAAAAGACCAAATTTAACCCAGGTATAGCTCTTTGTGTTTTTTTTGTACGAACTGCTCGAATGAATTAAAAAATAAAAAGTTTGTGTAGTGATTTCTGCTTAAGTTTTGCAAATGCTCAACAAAGTATTCATCACAACCACAAAATTAAGACACTTTATTGAACGTACCAACCATAACACTTGAGTTAGCTTCAAATAAGTTAATTCACTTTTTAAAAACAAGATTTACAAAGCATTAATACAAGAGCCCACTATTATTTTTCAAGCATTAACTGTACATAGATTAACCAGACAAATAAATACATGTACGTATTAGTTTGGCTTCATTTTTGGAAACAAAATACTATAACAACAACATTAAAACTTAAATAGGAACATTTGTAAGTAAATCTGCGTTTGAGGAAAAGGTTAAGAAACAAAAATGTGCACGATGAATATAAAAAATTAATGCATATACCTCAAAAACAGCTTTCTGAATATAATTCGAACACGTGCGCTTCCATCCAGATGTGCACATAGACCACTGTAATGCAAAGACTGACACCTACTGTTATAATGCCACAACAGCAGCAAAAAACCCAAAGCCTCAAACGTTGGGATGTTCGACCACAGTTTACCTACTGAACTTCCCTTTGACGCCCAAATAATAAAGCTCGACTGAAAGCAAACCACTAACAGAACCGGCTAAAACAAAACACTGATTTCCTATTTAAAACAAATGTGCCCTGCTAATTTACGCATTCTGAGCTGCAGCGCTGGACACGGTTAACAGTAGACGACCCACAGCTGGCTGACCGCGTGATGGTTTTCACAGGAAGAGCTCACTGCTGAGACACTGGCAGATTACGTTTGACCTCAAATAAAACTATAGCAGCTGTTCTAAAAAAATGATATGAACAAGAAGGAATGTACAATTTCTTTAAAACGATTTAAAGTCCGATCAGGAAGGATCATTTTTGAGAGGGGGAGCTGAGAACAAAAGGAAGGCACCATCATGAGCAAAGCAGTCCTGTCCTGTTTAAACAGCCACAAGTTCTCAAATAAAAAGGACATGCAGAGAGAAAACGGATTTAGAAATCAAGTAAAAATCCCGTATGAATAAGCAGTCTGACACCTCTGTGTAACAGTTAGGAACATGCGACATGTGCTTTGGATGTCTCCGAGGTTTTAGACCCATTCTGGTTTCCTACAGGAGGAACAAGCTCCGTCACCTGTTTCTAAATGTGTCGAATGGCTTTGACTGTACTTGCAGAGAGAGAAGAAAAGCATCGTTTTAGGAGAATGTGCAAGTCTTTCAGATTATAGCAACGGCTGGATTGTTAGTGTGTGTTAGGGGTTGTGTGTCCACAGCGTGACGGTGCGGTCGGCAGAGGACGAGAGGAAGGACAGGTCCTGCGTGTGCCATCGACACTGGATCACCTTGTCGCCGTGTTCTCCCACCACAGTCTGAGGCAGCTGTTTGGTCAGGTCACCTATAAACAGAAATGTTTCATTAGTTGGTAACGCTTTCTTTTACGGTACCCTTATTACCATGTAATTACAAGGTAATAAAAAAATGTAATTAAATGTAATTACTACCTTATTACCATGTAATTATGTGGTAATTATGGTACAAAAGAAAAACTACTGTTAGTAAAACTACCTTTATTGGGTAACTACAATCAAATTACTATTCAATAGTAACTCAACACTATATTTACAATCAAAATAATGCAACTAAATTTTGGGGTTAGTGGTTAATTGCAATAAAATATAACTTTAAAACTGTCCTAATTGCCTACTACTTTGTTTAGGTGTTACACCATGAATTGTAATACATTACCAGGTAAGTGCTACATTACTGCAGACAATTACATAGCAAAACTGTACCCTAATTACCATGTAATTACATGGTAATAAGGGTACCGTAAAAGAAAGTGTTACCCATTAGTTTAGTTTTTCTGTAACGTTTGGTTCACATTCATTTGTTTTTTTTAAATCAACCCAAGACCCAGTGGAGGGGTTTTGTCCACACTGGACCCCAAGGCGCACCTTGCAGGTTGGTGACCATGACTTTAGTGTCGTAGGAGCCAGTGAGCAGGTAGTGCGCTCCAGGGGAGAAGCGAACGGACCGAACATCACTGGTGTGTGGACGATACACCTGGACGATCCTTCCTCCTCTGATGTCATACAGCATGCATGCACTGTCTTCCTGTCCTGTTGCTAGAAGACGGCCACTGGGATCAACGGCAACAGAGGCAACAGGACTGCCTGTTCAGTAAAGAGAGGAGTCGCTGTGAGTCACCGGACATGACCTCTAAAGAGTTACTTTCATATGGCTGACACCAACATCCACTGCAGTGATGTTTATTCATTTATTAAAGTAGATTAGAGTTTAGATTAATGCTGCGTTCACACTAAACACGTTAATTACCTCCGCCAAGGGAGGAGGTTATGTTTTAGGTCGCGTACGTCTGTCTGTCCAATCACTTGGGATCATTCGTAGACGGGTCAAACCCCCGACTGTAGACATCCAAGGGGATTGCCTGAAGCCGTGTAGAAGACCAATCACGAAGGTGCATGGAAATAAAACTTTAGACTGAATTATTTTTAATTGAAAAAGTTACAGTTTTAAGTGACTTTAATGTAACAAAAGATCAATTTGATAATACATCGAACTGCGCATGCTAATAATTTTGCATTTTGTGTTTACGTTTCAGGATATTTTTCCCCACCTGTATCAGAAAGGTAAGCTAGCTAACTCACCCAACCCCCACGTTTGGGTCTGCTATTCGATAGATAACGCTAAGGTTTTCTTAAAAAATTTTGTTTATTCTGTTTTTTTCTTTTATGGCAAAATGTTTTCTTTATTCTGATGCTGTTCCAGTCTTTGTGTTGTATGTAATTTATTACATTTTTAGTCATTGTAAAGCAGTTGAACACAACAGGGTTTCCTCTAACCGTGGTGGTGGTGGGCTGTCTTTTTTTTTTTTTTAATTTATTTATTGGGGAGGGACGTGTATTGACACAGACATTATAAAACATGATTTATTTTATGCTAATCTGAATCAGTTTAGTGTATTTTGTAAATATATTTGACAGTTTTGTAGGAATGAACACATTTGTTATGTTTATTCAAAATAAACCTGCTTCTTTTTACTTCTTTAAAATGTTTAAAAGAAAATTTCATCAGTAAAAATACTCGAATCATGTCCTGTTTCTACAAATTGTCGTTCTAACACTTCAGAAGAACTTTTAACTTTGTAGATATGAAAAGACAACAGTTAAAAAAATGCAACTATCCAAAAAAAATTTCCTTTCAGTCACTGAAAATAATTTATTTACCGCATTTTAAATCTGGACCCTAAAGAGTTAATGCTCCTTGAGACCACCTGTGCTGCGGCTGGATGGTGACACACAGACAGCAGCTCATTCTGCCTGGATTTATGGTGTTTTAGCTTCACAAACAACTCTGGTTACTTTTTTAAAGTTGAGGGACATTACATTAGCTAGTAGCTGTGCTRCTGATCAGTGCTATTTTAAGAACAAGCACGGAGCTGCTGACTCCAGGTCACACGCGGGTCTGTGTTGGTGGTTCTTGCTGTATCAGAGTAATTATTGATAAGGTAACCATGCCGTAGCTTCACCTGTTGCGTTTTCCTTGAAAGAAAAAAAAAGTAGCTTGCAAAGCTGTTGCATCAAACAGTTTTCATGGCGCATCACATCACACACACGTACATGCCTTGCTATCTTTGTGAGGACTACATACAGCGCTCACAGCCTCGCTGCGCACAAGAACCCGCGGTGTTGGTTTTTCATAATAAAGTATATCTTAACTTTTCATTGATGATTAAATAGGCTTTCAAAGTCTGCTTATGGTTAGTTTAAGAGCACAAATATAAGATATAAATATACACTCACCGGCCACTTTATTAGGTACACCACGCTAGTAACGGGGTGGACCCCCTTTTGCCTTCAGAACTGCCTCAATTCTTCGTGGCA